GCTTCAATTATCAATTCAAATAGACAATACGTTAAGGCCATCTGAATTATCATTGATTAACCCTAAAGTTATTGATATATTATGTGGCTGAATTATGACGAATATTCCAAAAGCACCGTACGTGTCGGAGTTGCTGCAATTGAAGGGCGAGGTCGGTTTAAAATTTTAAAAAGTTAAAAATCTGACCTCGTTCAGATTTTAAATCTTCCATTTTGTAGACGTGCAACAAAGAGGTTTGTGTTCTCTCTGGTCATGTGCAAGTCATGCGCTGTTATGTAATCACAATTTTGATTTTGGGATCTCCGAAAATCCCGATGCAACTACTCGTAAACTGATTGTCTATGTCAGAAAAGGAAGGTGTCGTTTCTCGCATCTAGGTAATACTTATCAAGCTAGAATTATTGTTCATCAACAGATTGCTATGAAATATTGGCTCTTGCTGGTGGTGTATTGTGTGTTGATCTGTAATCATGACTTCAGGTCCGAGATTGTTAATCGTTCTCCGTTCCTGCAAACACCACATGAACTTCACTGGGTTCTTCAACACTCGAGCAAATGTTTCAAGAGGCGTGTAGTCGAAGCCATGATCTACGAGGATCGAGTATCAAACTAGCAATCGCAAATCAAAAGTAGCATTTATGAGGATCATTCTTGCTGACGTGCCGTCTCTACGGGCATTAGCATCTGGTAGTTACCTAGCCACAACGCCCATGCAGCATTCACGTCTTGAAGCAGAATTCACGTTCTGCTTCCCATATCATAACTACGGCACCAGGATACACTTTTCCTACTGATCAAATATCTTCTTTGGAATGTTCACAAAGAGCAAGGAGGATAATTGTGTATGTGCAATGTACATTGGGTGTCTATAATCTACAATTTGAAACTATTTACAAAGAAAGATAAAGGAGAATCCATCCTACAGATCTAAGCTTCACAGCTTTCATCATCATCATCGCCAGCTTTGGCTGCTGAATCAGCACTGCCAGTACTGGGTGCAACGATAGCAGCAGGGATTGTTGTAGTACTACCGGATCCGGTGGCGACGTCGTAAGCTGCAATCTTAGCAGCAGCCTGCTCAGCAACAACCATGATGATAGCCTGGGTGTTACCAGTTGGTAGATCGGGGTGAATGGAGGCATCAACGACGAAAAGGTTATCGGTACCGTATACCTTGGTATTCAAGTCGACAACAGCGGTACCATTGGTACGTCCGTCATCTGTGCCCATTTTCGCAGTTCCAACCCAGTGATCACCACTGACAAGGGAAGACGAAATGATGCTTGAGGGGGTTGCTCCTGAAGTCTTGTAGCTGAGAGAGTGGCTGCTGTTTCCTGCGGCATTCGAGGAATTGCTAGACACCATGTTCAAGAAGAACTGAATGAATTCTGAATAGACAGCCATATCTTCAGTTGTTTGCAACCATGGCTTGGTGTTAAGGACGGTACTGCCAGATGCCGAGATTCCAAGCTCACCAGTACTGGTAGTACCATGAGTGAGGAAGGCTTTAATAGTGATAGTATCATCGGCCATCGCGCTAACGGTGCCTTGGAGGTAGCGAGCTACACCGTCAGTACCATTGATTGAGGTCCACAAGTGCATTCGCTGAGCTGCCTGTGTTATAGTTCCGGAGCCTTGCTTGTACAAATCCAAGTCGGTAGCAACTGGCGATGTCGCGAGTCCGGTGAAATCAAAAGCTTTGAAGGCAGGTGAAGTAGTAAACTGCAAAGGCACTTGAGCATGGTCCTTCAAATTGTGACCGACAGGAAGGTCAATCCAATCGGACGAGTCTGGCAGAGATACACCAGATGTGCCGGTTTTAACAATGTTGAGCGCGTCAGATCGACCAATGCCAGAGTTCCAGAGAATACGGGGAGTCGATAAAGCGCCTGAGGCGAGGACGACTTTACCGTTGGCATTGAGATTGATGATTTGACGGGAACCATCTGTAGCCTGAGTCAAAACACCGGTGATTGTGCTTCCATTTCGTAAAACCTGGATGACGCTAGATTCGAGCTTCAATTCAAAATTATCAAGCTGCTCGGCGAACGGCATGTAGGTTCTAGCGGGACCAGCTCGGAGATGATTGGAGATACTCCAAGCAGGACGAGAGAAAACTGCATGTTTCTCGTTGGGACTCTCGATAGAGTCGACCTCACTCCAACCTTGTTGTCCAAGATATGCTGACCAGGTAGTGTATGCCAAATCATCGTAGTGTTTTCCATCAGCCGAAGGCTGGGTGGTACCAGGATTACGAGAGTAGAGACGGTCAGCTGCATCGGAGACAGAATCCCAATCCCATCCAGTTGGCCAATTCTCAAAGTCATGAGCAGCGGGGCGAATGAAGTTGAGGCCATTGATGGAGCTCGAACCTCCAAGAAGACAGCCAGCAGTAGATGCAGTATCAGAACAGAACTGAGTTCCCGAGATGGTCGCAAGACTACTGCCAAGAGCGGGCACATCATAGGGAGTAAGAGTAGAGTTCCAAGAGAGGCCTTGAGTGGAGCCGAGGGCAACTGTGTTGGCGGGACCACGCTCAAGGAGGAGGACACTGACACCACTCTCAGCAATACGCTCAGCAACAATGATACCCGAAGCACCACCACCAACGACAATAACATCGTAAGTAGAGTTGAGTGTAGTGGGAGCCGGAACTGTGATATTTGAGCCACTACCAGTTCCCGGACTAGTTGAGTTTCCACCAGATGGAGCAGCGGATGCCCATGAAGCCCATGTAGAGTATTGCGCAGATCTAGCAGCTGTCAAGTTGAGGTTGTAGATGTTTGCACCGACATCATGGTATGACAAAGCACTTCCCGAGTTAGATGGATTGGTGGGAGTGGAACTTGATACGGCATAACCAATAGTGGCGAGTACACTTGAAGCATCGAAAGTTGTCGAGCCTCCGATCACACAGGATTGGCAAACGAAAGTGTAGGACAAGTGTGTGCTGTTGATAAATGTACCATTAGCAATTGGCAGAGCCGCAACTTTCGTACTTGTGTACACATCGGGGTTGGAGTAACCGGTGGCATATCGGAAACTGGACTGAATCTCTTCGCCGTTGGGCCACGCAACAAAGAGGAGTTTATTAGTCATGCCGGCGCCCATGGAAAGCGCACCCCAACCTGCACCAGATTTGAGAGGAACCACCAATTGACCAATGAAATCAGCTGTTGGGCTCTGGGGGACCGCAATACCAAAGCTGTATCCTATCGTGGTGTCCAAGTATCGTTGAAACTCGATGCCAGTGTTTGCATCGGTGTAGGCTCCATTTGTAGTGGCTGCCGTGGCGATTCGGGCAAGCCCAATGAGGGCTGTTGAGCCCAGGATTTTGGAGTACATGGTGAGTGGTTTTCCAAATCAGAATAGGAGAGAGATGTCTTGGTAGAGTCGGCTTGTGGGAAAGAAGCAACGAGGCCTTCAAAGGCTTGAGAAATGGATAAATGAGTGTTGAATGAATGCAAAAAGCCGACCCAGCGGCAAGCTTCAATGAATCTACAGATACTTCTGATATCAAGAATGTGTGAGGAAAAGGTACATGAAGACGAGATCAACCTATTATATACTGCATCTGCATCCTCGTCTATCACCGATGCATATCTTGAGCCCTGTCCGCGGCCCCTGAATTTTTTGAACGTCATCCACTTCGCAATCTTCATATACAGAGCTCGGCCTCCCTCTTTGAGTAAATAAGCATTCCCCTTTCATGTCCGGTGTTCTTGGCGCCAGATTTGACAAGATTAATGGGGCTCTGGGTCTAGTAGCCGCTCGCTAGACAACCGACTGGGGGATAAATTCTACCGAACACACCGTCAACCTTATATTTAAGCTTGCATTTTTCTCGTATAAATCCATAATTTAAACATCAGTAGATTACCTTGAACCTTCTTTGATAAGGAACATAAAGCAAACAATAGTACTAAAGAAGTTGGTCATTAACGGCTGCTTATTGGTCAGAACAGAAAATAACGTTTCATCTAAAGAGCTAAGACTCTAACGGCCCTGGTGCTGATCCACTTCAGTTTCGTGGGATTGTTTGATTTTAATATAAGGGACACAATCCTATAATCGTTTGCCTACCTCTGTATATTAAATCAAACTGCGATTCGTTTCTTCTTTATTATATAAAGTGGTGAGTGCTGACTCCTGACTATGCTTTTTACTGCGTATCGCGCTGAAGCTTGGCGTTCCGGGGTCAAAAAAAATGACAGCAGCAAGCTCGCATGATCGTGATAGTTAAGATTGTATTTGAAATCGTTTTCTCCATTCCGTCAACTAATTTCCCCGAATCAGAATGCGACGATGAGCCATATTTTCTTTTGGAGTTATCTCCTTGAGTTTTTTAAGATTCGTCCTTAATGGGAAGGCATGATCATGATCCCGGTAGTTGTCTCAGAAAATCAATGACATCAAAAAGTCAAAATTGTGCGTGACATGCAGTGATCGGACACTAGAGCCTCCCTCGTAAATCAAGGGTTTTGACTCTTGAGTCTTGAGGGAGCAGGCTCGAGGCAGGATGAACTCAAGTATCACGTGGGGTGCATTGAAATTACTTCGGATGAGCACTATCAGGTCAGAGAGCCTCTTGGGGGGGGTCTCTAGTAAGTGATCTTCAATCCACTTCCGTGGCTGCGGTGCAAAGCTTTCATTCAATACCGCCGTATGGCTCGATAAGATTCGAGTCCTGCAATGGAGCTGTTCCCCTCCACTGGAGTCTCGCGTCACGTGCTAAGAACCACTCCCTCCACTTTGGTTCTCACTTTCACCTTCGTCTATTGCACCATCAAATACTCTCTTTCTCTTTATTATTCCATTGCTATAACTATTAAGAAAATTTGATGAGCATCTTGGACATCTCCCTCCTTAAGCTTGTAAAGCTCTGTTTACAGTTTCAATGCGTTAGGGGAGATTGAAAAAGGATGACCATTTTCATTCGGTTGGTTTGCGCCCTCCTGCCCATCACATCTTACGATTATTAATCTATGATGGATTGCACCATGGATGATTCTGTGGATGCACAAGATGGCAGTATGGCCAATAATATCAGTTCCCAAGATGATTCAATGGATTACGCAATGGAACACCAGGACACGATGGACTATACTATGAGCCATGATGCGACAAACCAAACTTTGTCTCAATTACCAGACGCAGAAGATCTTTCAGAAGAAGGTGAGGAAGAAGAAATTCCGGTTGTTGAGCTTGCTCGATCGATCGGTGTATCTCAAGATCATCAACTTGACAATACCTCGGTGGAGATTTTACTTTTGATGCAGGAAGATGTTCATCATGGTTTCTCTAATGATCTGAATGATGATCATCTGTCTCTATTTACTACACCAGAAACCAGTACTAATGAACGACTCTCGGTAAGTATCGGTGCCGCACGACTTCTCACATCTGTAGCACAAAATGAGAACCAAGAATCAATTGATACTTTGACGCATTCTTTACTTGGGCCAAGAGATGTCAGAAATATGCGGATCGAAACGCCTATACTGCGAACCGACCATGATTTTGATGTCAGAGGATTTGCAAGAAGAGATGGATTTGAGGTGAAGCCTCACGATATCAAATTGCCACTAGAGTTACTCAGTATTGAGAACAATGAGGGGTTGGGATTTCCATCAAACTTTTACAATTTCGAAACTGAGGCATTCGAAACGATAGCTAATGAGAAGATTGAAGTAACAAGAAACTCAATGGTCTATCTTCACACGGCCTTGAAAGCAACATTAACGATACAGAATGAACAAGAGATTTGGGAAAGTGAGAGAACACATCCAAGAGTGAGTAATAGTTCCTTCAGATGCATCTCATCTATTATATACTAATGGTTCCAGAAATTTCCAATCTCTTGTCATGTTACGCCACCACTGTCTCCGATGCTAGCCTCACTACCTGATAGCCCTCTTCATTTTGTTTCTTCGGGCTGCGAAATACCAATACTTTCAGATCCCGATTCTCTTGCCTCGCTGGACCTCAAAAGAATTGAGTATGAAGTGTTCAAGGAAGATCTGCCGACACCTCTGCGCAATCGATCAGCGACTGGAGTAACAATTTCATCATCCAATGAGCAATGTGTCAAGCCTGCAGATCTATACTCATCACCAGAGTGTATCCGAAATTTCGATCCATCTTCCTCTCCTATAGAAAAGAAAAGAGCTATCGAGAACCTCAAAGTAGAAGAGATTTTAACGCCACCAAAGCCGTTCGAAGAATCAGGACCTAGGAGCGTACACTTCAATAACATCGTAGAAGAATTTCTACTCAGCAGTCGACCTCAGTCTGTGTTTTCCGAGCCCGTAATCGAGACCAAATTCTTCGAAGAGGCATTCGGCGACAACGGAGAAACAGCACAACATCGAGTTGAAAAAGAGAGACTCGCAGACACAAGAAATCGTGTCGAAGTGCCGGTGATGGACTTCAGTATACCTGGACCTCCCTGGATGGTTACTAACTTCCGTAGTGTCAATGCTGTTAATTTGGCTTTAACAAAATGCGCCAAGGATATCAGTGTTAGCCCCTCAATGTGTTGGCCTGGATTAAGGAAGTTGCACTCGAAGGTACCATGGGTACCATTTGAACATAGCCTGGGAAAAGTTGTCGAAGATTCCATGGGCGAAGAGAAGACCTGGGAGGTGTTCGTGTGCAGCTTAGATGATGAGAAAGTGGTTACAAGTTCAAATCTCACCTGGAAGAGGGAAGGCTTTCGAATTCTCCAGGATAATACCAATGGCGATGATGATGATGACGAGGAACTTGAGTTGGGATATTTCCCAAAAGAATCCTTGAAAACACCACCATTAATTCGACAGCGGGACTCCGAGGCGCAAGATGTTAGTCAACGACAAAAGCTGGCATGTCAATCCAACGTCAATGCTTACAAAGACACAATGGTACCTTTTAAGCCATTGATCACTCCAGAGATGCGTCGAGAGATAACGAATGCGAATTCGTTACCTCTTACGAAGAGAGCACGATCAGTAATCGACGAACAAACTTCCCTTCTCGGCGGTATATTCTCCGCAAAGGATGAGCTGAGTAATTTTATGGAGATACGAGGAGCGAAGAAACCAAGGTTGATTGAAAGTTCTCATTTTCCAGTTCCTAACTTACCAGCACCCTTACCATCGAATCAAATAACTATTGACGTGGAATCTCTATTTCAACAGCCTGAGCCTTCAAGTTCGCCTCTCCCAACACCCATTATAAATGCCCCAACAGCCCCCATCTCTATAATTCTATCTTCCACGATCCTCAAAAACCGCCCTCTTCTCCGCTCCCTCGAAACCCTGATTCCGACCCTCACGATCTGCGAGCGCGATTTCTCCGCCCACAATACTACGGCTTGGAATCTGGGTTCCGTAATCCGCTCTCCTGTAACTTCGACTCTCACTCACGAAGCCGACATTATAATTTCCCCAAGCACAGGACTTATTCTTACCACTCTGCAACATATCAAGCAAAAGCCACTACCTGGACACAAGACTGCCGTTCCAATTCGTGATCGATTGGACAAAGTTAGTGCACGGTATGAGAATTTAATCATTCTTGTCGCTTCCCCTACAACTGGTATAGGTGATAGTGATAGTATCGCCTGGGCTGATTTCGTCGGTTTCACATTAACATTACCCGCAAGCGTCATTGTGAATTACATTCCCGTAGACAAAACTAATAGCGAAGACCAAAGTATGGCAAAATTTATCTCCTATCTCATTATTCAACACTCTGGAGATACCCTCTCGAATCTAGTTGTAGAACTGTTAGAACAGGAGTCATATTGGGAGATATGGCTGAGAAGAGCGGGAATGAATGCTTTTGCGGCTCAAGCGACGATTGCAGAGTTGAAAGAGCCGGAGCCAAGATGCAAGGTGGGTGATGAGGGGTACGAAAGGGAGATGCAAATGATTCACAAGGGGGGGCCTTATGGATTGACACAGTTCGTGATGATGGGGCTGGAAGATAGAATTAGGAGATTGAGCGGGCTGGTGGGAAGGGGAGTGTTGGAAAGGGTCAGCAGAGTTATTGATCAGATATGGGAGTAGACTTTGGTGAAGGTTGTAGATTCAGAGAGTGGCTCGTTGTAGGAGAAGTTGATTACAGGGCTGTAATGACTGACGAAGATCTGGCTGAATTTATGCAACATTTACTTGCCGCTGAGGACTGGCTTTGTATAAGCCAAGCAAGAATCGCTTGATATGCTCACAAAATAGAATAAAATAATTAGAATAAGCTTTCGTGTTATAAACTCCACACTTTTAAACTATTATCTGGTGTTTTGCCTGTGTCTTTGGGTGTCCTAGGCGAGAATTGCAGCGAATTTGGAGCGCTTTCATCACCGGAACTATCTTCATCTGCTGTGTCATCATCATTAACATCAACATCAATATTCGTTTCAGCTCTTTGGCCTGAACAAGTTGCTATAACTGTTCCAGATGGATGTAATACTGTCGAGCCTATTGGGTCTATCGGTCTAAAGTTAGTATACGAAAAATGATAAAGTGTTATGTCATGAAGAGTGACGAGCAGGGTGAGTTTAGAAATGGCATACCGTCATGAGCCTTCCACTCCCAATCGCACTTAACACCCCCTTCCTCCCTCCCTATTCCCTCCCACACCCTCACTACACCATCTGTGCCCCCTGTCCAAAGTTCCATCCCCTTCTCCCCTTCGAAAGAACCCACGCCCATTCTTTGATTCGTCTCCGCTTCCCTGCCCTCCAGCCAAGAGATTAACTTCCCAGTAACCCTCACATCATATACAAGCACACCTCTGCTCTTCCGTTCCGCAACCCACAAGTACCTTCCGCAGCTACTCCACCCCACCTCACTAACCCCTTGCCCTCCAATCCTCGCCTCACTATCGGCCGCTGCAGAAATATCCCAGGTAGCAACAGTTCCACCCAATCCAGAAGCATCATAGAGACCAAGCCACCTTGTCCAGGTGCCAGCGGCGAGAATACTTGTATTAGACGGATCAGTACATGTTTGCAACGACAATGCACTTACAATACCGCGCATTCCTACGCCGCCCCCTTTGATTTTATGGCGTTTGGAAGGAATAGTGGGGAGCTTGGTGACGGGACCAGAGCCGGGACGAGATATATCGAAGTGGGATATGAGACATTCGGTCCCGGTTAGGAAATGGGTCCCGGGAGAGCTCCAAAGAATGGATGCAGGGGTGAGGTATTTTTCGGTGGTGGGGCAGATAAGATTGTAGCTAGCTTGGGGGGTGGCCGTTGGAGATAGGATATTTGAGAGGCGGATTGGGAGGGAATTAGGACAGCTGAGGTAGAGGGTTGTGCTGGGGTCTGAGAGTGTGTAGTGTGGGTAGGGAGCGATGCAGTTTACGGGTGTAGGAAAGGTGTGTGATGTGTAGGGAATGAGAGATAGTGGAGTAGAGGGATTGTCGAGAAGCGTGGGCGGGAGGATGAATGTACGGATTTGGTTATCGGCGGATGAAGTCAGGAGGGTTGTTCCGTCGGGTGTCCTACCAAATTTAGCAATCATGAATACATCAAAGGGGTCCAGCGGTGAACATACCATTGTGCACTTTTAAAATAATTAACTTCCAAATCTTCATCTCTGATCCTGTGATCTTGGCCTTTCTTCAGACCCTCATCCACACATTCTATTCCGTCTTGCGCTCCATCATTTTCCCTCAATTCCTTCTCGCGCAAATGAGATGTTGATATAGGACAAGAATAGGTATCATTTGTTGAAGCCACAAGAATAGGTTTCCTACCATCTGCTTCCATGATGTATCGATAATAATTGCAATCTTTGTCACATGTGAACAAACCGAGATATCAATTCGTCGAGTCACGTTACACCTTTTCGTGTTCTGGTGATCGCTAAATTGGCAATTTTGCGAGCGCATTTTGTAGATGTGCAACAAAACCCGGCATATATTCGGTAGTCAATCGGCCAATGTTATTCCGAAGCCGTAGTTCCGGCCGAAATCTATTGAAAAGGTTCTACGATACAACGGCTATATATAATATATTAAAGGTCTTGATTTTACGAAGTGTCGTATATGGCTGAAAGTCAAAAGAGATTTATCTGGTACCTGGCTTGTACTGTAGGGGTAGCAATTCTGTTCTCTGCTAACTCAATGCCCCGTTATCTACACTTCAGCACCGAGCACGGCTGTATCGATAGCCATGATTTGTCTGTAGCTTAAGTTGATACAGCGCGATGATCAAATACCTAGCATACATAGGTATCTTATTAATAAGAGGTTAGGAAGAGGAATGTTGCTGTTCGCCAAGAGGTTTGATCATTAGACGACGCTTAGTCATCCACGATTTGAAGAGTCGGAACAGACCACCACGGGCCGACTTAGGCTGTTTTCTTACCGACAAAAAGCCATTGATGTGTATATTGAAACAAACACCTTCATTCTGCTTAATACCCGGTGATAGTTAGCTGGAAGCATCAAGAGGGGGATCTCCGTTAGATGGACATGAAGTACATATTGCTTCGGAATTCGGATTGGCGGCTGCAAGCTTGTGCGTGGAGCAATCATAATTTGTTCAAGCCTCCGCTTTCATTTCCCCTCTTCCACCACTTTAATGCTGTGTAAGCAAACTTTACCATACTTTCAGATATCCATGAGCCATTCTTTTGCACTATTCGGTTTCCCTTTCAATTTCATTACGTTATGATTACCTATTGATTCACAAATCTCAAAAGCCATTTGTTATGACATCAGCCGTTTATACCCGCACATCTGTTACACATAATTTGAGGGGATCTGAAGGCATAGCCAACCAGTCAAATGGACAAGCTTTAACACTAGTTGCCGTGCTTCAAGCCTCCAACGTCTTATTAGTATTGAAGGCCTTTTGCCAACGACAACCTCTCCTCAATAGCACGGAGCATAGCCGTTTTCTAGCTGGTGGTACGACATTCACGATGGGAACTTTCATCGAAGAATGCAGGAGATTTTAGCTTACTCCTCGACTGTGCGTCTTGGGAGTTATATTCTCTGCCAATAGGTCCTTGGTTAATCCATCGCTCCCGAGACCCCAGGCTTGCAAGCCCGTCTCCTAGATGGGAAACAATCCCCGCAGTATTGGGGGATGTTGATATACGAAGAATATGCCATGGAATGCGCAGACTTGCGGGGCAAGAGAAGATAAAGATCGAAAGCAGCAACAGGAGACTCTCAAAGACCTTGATCCGGCGTCTTCTATATTATCCTTGCATTGAGATGTCACTATCGACAAAGGAGGGAAATGCTGTTGGCGACCAAACTTTTGAAATCAGCCATTTCATCGATTCCTGTTTATTCTTCAGTCCTGATACATGATCTAGTGGGGGTTAATTTGCTCATTCTCAACAATTGACTCTAGACTCACTTGATCCAAGGCTTTGACCCCATTTCCCCCTCATTTCTTTGGATTGAGCCGATCATGCGATACTGCAAGTGCTCAAATCCAATCTTGTAATTGCTATTTTACTCGTGAGTTCTTTAAAGATGCCAGTTCTCTTATGCAGCCACGAACGAATCTTCACTGCGGATGCATCGGATGGGTTCAATAGATCGTATTCAAATGAGGGGGAAGCGCAGACTTGAAGAATTTGAATGTTGCCCCCTCAGCCCTTGGCTTTAGTAAAATTGAGGGCATTCGCCTTGCTACAGCTGCAAAATCGTCTATATATACACCTCAAATCTCCATGAAAGAGCAAGATCAAAGCTTCCATATCCATCATCATTTACTTACTTACCAAAACTCATACTCATTACCATTCTCTCAATAGCACCACAATGTCTTCTCTTCTAACCACAGAGCTTGCTTGCACTTCTGCTCCTGATCAAGTCCTACACCTCTTCTTCCAGGAGGGCCAAAACATCCTTGAAGCGCGATCTCCAGATGGTGGCAATGTTTGGACCACTCAAGACACTGTTATTTCCAAAGATGGAGATTACAATGGTTCTTCGATGACATGTTATTATGTAGACAAGGACGCGAACTTCGATAACCAGCCTTCAGTGTGTCTTGTTCCACTATGCTTGTATTCATCTGCTGACGCAACTTTCAGATTCATCTTCTCTACATTAACAAGGACAAGCAATTGATGGAAAAAGTGAAGCGCATGAAGGGGGACAATCCAATCTGGGAGGACGTCAAGATCCCAGACGAAGTCAAGAAAGGCCCAGAGCAATATTCGAGATTGGCTAGTGGGGCTTTCAATTCAGGTAGTGGATGGAATCCAAATGGTTCGCAGTGGGCCTACTTTTCAGCGTGAGTTACAATCTATAGTTCTTGGTTTTGGAAATTCACTAAATTCAATTAAAGTATCAAGGACGGCAAGATGGGCATTGTTGAAATTAGACGCACTCCAAAGGACCCATGGCATACTGAGACCATTCTCCCTGAGAAATGGGGCGAGGAGCTCCCAGGTACCTCCCTAGATTGCACAATCTCGAGCGGAAGAATCAGGATCTTCTTCCAGCACCATGACTATAGCATCCGTTTGTTTGAGAACCAAGATAACAAGTGGCATGGTAAGTAGAGACAACCACCTATCATTATGCTAATAATTTAGAAGCTAACCTTTTTCTAGACCGAGGCGTCTACGTCGAGAAAGACAAGGTTCAAGCCACAACACCAATTGCTTGCACCATGACTAAGGACGGAAAGGTTCATCTTTTCTACGTCGCAAAAAACAACAAGATTGTTCACTGCACCGATGGAAAGAAAGAGGAAGAACTGGTCAATTTCTTCCCGGGCTCAAAGTTGGGCGCCACATCAGTTGACAACAAGATCACCTTGTTCTTCAGGAACTTGAACCCCGTCAATGAGGTTGGTACATTGGAGAACGAGAATGGCTCATGGAAGCATGGCAGCACTGTCATCCGTGCATGATTAATAGTGAATAATTAGGAGGAGGTTCTTTCTTATGTTAATTCAGGGGACTCCCGCATGAGGGGGGGAAAAGTTGTTAACTTTCTTTAAACACCCAACCACAATCAGTCATATCGGGATGATATTATGAACAAATTCACATTCCTTGCAATTTGCTTCACGATCAATCAGCTAATAGTTACCTTTCCTTTCAATTAAGTCATTTGTCTCCCCGAAATATTGTTTCATCTACTCACTGTGACCTGATTATGAAATGTCCTTGCGATGATACTTCTAATAATTAAACCATGGTAATCGTATTTGTGTGAACTTTAACGAGTTCTTCCTGCTCAACACGATCTCATGGAACGAATTCGTTCGATTCTTACCACGTGATGTGAAAGGGTTCAGGAACCGAATACCAAACAGAATGCAATTTCTTGGCATCATTTCTACTGTGCCAATGTAATCTTGGCAACTACTAATGAATGATCACTTCTACCTATCAAGCTCATAGTGATAGCACGTGTTGCCTGAAGATCTGATCGACTGACGCATCATGTGCTAGCTTTGACAAACCCCTTCATCTGTTTGTGATGTCATGTGACTTTTGTCATTAACATTGTTAGATTTTGACCAGATAGTCTATAGATTCTCCTTGTATTATCTGCAATTTCTACCAGGTGTTCTTTGACACATATGCTTTCAATACAGTGAGTCAGTCGATTGGTCAGTAACTATCTCAAGGAAGGGTGATATTTTGCCATCTCACACCGCCTTTAGAGGCTTTGAATAACATTCGGATTCGTCAAAAGCATCTCTGACAAATATTTTGAAGATTTCTTCCTTTCTATCCATATTCAGTTCTTGGCTTAGGCATTCACCAGAAGCATCAGACTCTTTCACAATGATTGATTGAATATGAAGATTCGAGGCAAGGATCGCACATCTATAGTGATGCCTATGGGGGCTATGTTCGTTTTGTGGTTAGCAAGGCTGATTCCTTCACGTAAAATTGGATTGATCAACAGTGATCTGACCTACAAGCATTCTCAAACCCTGTCTGGTTGAATGTTTGCCATCTTTGATAATGGATTTGTATCTATTTGAATGAAGGTCTCCCAGTGAATCAATAACATTTGGTCTGTGACCCCTCTATATTATTGATTAAATAACAATCAACCATAACCTCATCTAGAATTTCTATCACAAGAATTCTTGCAAAACTACAGCAGATCTCAAAGAGAAGCTGCAAAACTCTACAATTTTTCACTTTCGACGTGATTGCAATGGGCGCTAAAATCCCCGACGATACTTCTGCTTCGTCAAAGACGATGAGCCAATCTTTCACTAGCTCGTATCCTGAGAGCCAAGCGCCGTCAAACTCAAATTCCTCGGGTGCGATACAAAGATTTCAACAGCAGCCGCAGCCCTCTTTCGTGATCGGCGGAATACCATACCTTTTCCCATCGATTTTTGGGGTTTACAGGGATGGTATGAGGAAACTTTGTCTCGCGGAACACCATGTCTCGACACCATTTATGTCTATTGCTGTACATTCTGGTTTCTCTGGCGAGCCCTCGATTATTCTTTCCTCTCCCACAGCAGTGATGGGAACTGCAGATCTCCACACATTTTCCTCCAAGACTGAGATCGTTATCGGTAATACCTCATCGACTTTACACTCTTCAGGCTTCATTTCACCGGTCTATGACTTCACCTATACATTTGACGATGGACGCCAGGAATCATTTCAGTGGAAAAGAAGCGCCGGCGCGGCAGTTGCAGGTTTAGGCGGCAGGAGTAGGGGGTACAAGCTTGTGAGGGTCCTTAACGGGGAGGTATTAGCGGCTTGGACACATCCAGGCGGTCCAAGTATCGATAAGATGGCGAAGATTGGACTGTTGGATAGTATGAGAGCGCTTGGCTGGGGTGAAAGATGGGAAGTAACGCTTGTGCTATCAGCCATAGCACTTATTGAAAAAGAGAGAAGGGCAAGGAACAATGCTGCTGCGGCGGCGTAGGGACGGTTTGAACTTTAGGGCGAAAGTCGGAGGGCCCGACATGATACCACTTGTTTTCGGCGGATTTAATGGGAGTTTACCTAGCTTGGATATAATTTGAAATTTGGTCAGCATTTGATATGCACCACGAGATATGATTAAAATTTTCACCATGACTAACTTGAATTCACTATCATTCTTTCTGTGAATTTCAAGACACAATGACTCCAGTGAGCCAAGTCGATAGATGAGAAACTACTTCAATCGTTGAACAAAAAAACCTATTTTTGGAGTTTCTCTAGAACCCAAGTAGATTCTTCGGTTCTTCGATTACCCCGAAGATGATTGATTGATTTACCTTGATTAGTTTCTTTCTTTGTACCATGAGAAGTTTCCCGCTAATTTTTCGTGCCATGTGTGTGCCAACGAACCTTTGTTTTCGAGAACGACAAAGGGACAATCTGTTCGGAGTGTCCCACATGGCGAGAAATAGTTTCTCAAGAAGTTTTCACATCACCGAAGTCATTGGTCATAGAAGTATTTTTTCCATCAGACTACAAAGTTTCTGGCGGTCTCGAGGGAATAAATAATTTTGTAAAATTTCACCATGCAAGAACAAAGGGGACATCGATGGCAATAAACTAGCCTTTTTGCGGTACACTAACTCTTCTTTCATCAATATGATGGCTTCCTCACCCATCAACTATCCAGATTTTCCTGTCACCACCAATCTAGATCCAAGATATCACCATTGCTTCAACTGCAGAAATGTCACATAGTCCAAGCAGTCCAATTGTCCGTCCGCAGGAGGATCACGAAGGCCTCCAAGTCGTCCCCGACGACGGTCTGCAAACCCCAGACCCAGAAGAATCCCCCACAGCCAAAGATCTTAAATTCCAACCATATTCCGCTGGATCCGCCTATGGCGGCACCTTAAACGTTCGCGAACCTGGTTACGACGCCCCACCAGTCCCGGAATCGCCCCCTCCAGCTTTTCATCTCATAAACGAATATAAATTAGGTCATAACAATACGTTACCTGTTGAAGATACGCCTCCGCCACAGACTATCAAAAAGAAACGAGTGTGCGGATTGAAGAAGAGAACATTCTGGCTGTTGATAATATTGTTACTGATCGCGATCATTGCATTGGCCGTCGGTCTAGGTGTAGGACTCAGTGGGTCTAAATCATCAACCTCTTCTAGCCCCTCAAATTCTAGCTCCTCAACCGAGTCTACAACTCCCACAGGCACATCCTCCGCGGCACCATCTGCCTCTTCTCCGATCGGTCAGACATGCGTCAAAGGTACAGGACCGGGGAATTATCTCGGTCTCTGTGACTTCTCCTGCAATTTCGGCTATTGTCCCTCTCCCTGTTCCTGCGTCCAGTTTTCCTCAACCGCAGTTCCACCGCCTCCTATCTCAAACACACCTGGATTCCCACTACCAGGACTAAATGCAGATTACTCCGGCTTGTGTAGTTTTACTTGCAATCATGGATATTGTCCTGACGGAGCTTGTACCACGGATTCTTCGGCTGCCGCTGGAAATTCATCTTCGAGTGCGTTATCGACGTCAAGTTCGACATCTTCAACACTGCCGACTTCGAGCCTGGCACAGTTAACGTTGACAGCGCCAACAAGTACGGTGGTTGTTACTTTGCAGGGCTCGCAGACTAGTACGGTAGTTGTAGTACCAACTTCGACTGGCTAGTATTGTCATTGAGATATGGGTGGTAAGATTAGAATGTTTTTTTTTAATCGGGATTCGACGATCTGAGTTGTATACTAAAGGATGTATATCAGAATGTAAAAATATCAGGGGGGGAAGAGGCCGACATTTTTATGCCTATAGATTTGTGTACTATATATTTCTTATGTTCGCTTCCAATGTGTATAGATTGAATGGGCTCTCAAAGACGAGAAGGATTGATCAAATTGAATATAGAATTGTTTAGACCTAGAAAATGAATCAAAGACTTTATCATTATTTGCAAGTGTATTGAGAGTAACCAGATGAGGTGAGTGGCCCATTTAGGAGAATTTGAAACTTATATTTGAAAGTTGACATTTGTTGATCTCGAAAGTTCAAATGAGATCAGATTTACAGTAACTAGTCCGCATCTTCAACGGAATCTTCGATGTTCTGGCAAGTCTGGTAATTTTCGTGATATCAGGGCTCAACTCAACTCAACTCAACAAAATCAAATCTAACATTTTTGATTGAATATCAATGATCAGACAGTGTGACTTGTTTCATTCCAAATCTACCACTATTGATCTACCTCATGCTTCATGCAAAGGCACTTTGCACATGCACTGCAGCAACACATACATCCCGACTGGATTAGATGATTACAGAGTGAATGAACAAATTCGTTATTATTGAATTATCTTTGTTAGAATTATTTGGGAAATGAGCTACTCCTCTTGTACTATTCACTTTGGCTCTTCTCGATACGAACAATCGAGAACTTGTAAACTATTGAAATAAATTGCAGGTAGATGTATCCCACTGATAAAACTAGATGAGAAGCAGATATCACACGTCGTTTGATGATCATCTACTTCATAATGTAAGATTAGGTACTTGCCCGTACTTTCTTTCTTCTGTAGGGTACCTAGCTGTGATACAAGTTACACTGCTTTGATTCTCTTTGACACTAGTGCCTCTTCCGAAGTATGAGGAAACCTTGGAAGGTCTTTTAAAAAGCATCAAGAGTACTTTTGGGGGAAGGTAGGTATAAGCCCCACTTTTCACTTGAAAATTCTTGGCACTTTTTTGATCGATTTTTTCTTAATCAGCAATTCCAAAATCCCAAAAATCAAAGAAATCCGCCCTTTTGCTTTTTGCTTTTTAAAAGAGGCTGGTATTATGTACCAGCACGACGCACCGCACCCTGTGCTTTGTTAAGTTCCGGCGACCCCTCTTTGATTCATGCGGGGTATCTCATGGCATTCGCATTCGCTTGCTGTGATGTCGGAACTGCTGCAGCCCATTTAAAGTATCTAAGGTCCCACCCAATTCGACACTTGCGAGTTCCTTCTTCCTCAAAAAACTTCCTCTTAACCACAAGATCATAGCAAAACAGCAAAACGGCAAAATAGCAAAATTCAAACACAACAAACTTTGAACACTTTCTCATCAATCAGAAATCACCTCAATTATGTCTGGAAAGGGTACTTCTGGCTCCAGTGGCTCTGGCGGTTCGTCTAGGTCTGGTAACTCTCTGGGTAGCCCATATACTGTCAATAGCAGTGGTACCAACAGCCGAGTGAGTTCCCGACTACTCGCATCTTTCTCTTCACACTCAATCCTCCTTCCATTCTTTGAACTACAGACTAACCCTCAAATTTTCAGGGCAACAGCTATGACAACCGCTCCACTCCCTCTGGTCAAGCTTATCACTACAGCAATAGCGGTATGCCTCCCTCCTCGAACCTGCTTGCCAAACCTTAGATTTTCCTCTACATAACGTTCGTATGCTGATACCTCGTGCGAAAGACGGTTCTTACTACTATGCCAATGGTAATGGCTCCACCTATCACAACGGCAGCAGCGGTTCTACCTATACTGCTCCCGACGGTACTTCATACAAGAAGTAAGCTAGAAGCTCTTGCTTCCGGCTACTCGGTGGGCATTCATACGATGGGTGTTGGTTTGTGCGGGTCAGTTTCAGATAGATAACCGGTGGGCTTTTTGAAGGATAGAATGGGTTATCAGGATTCATATCTCGATTGTTTTCGGGATATGATCATTCAGCTTTGCAATCGAATTGACCTGACTTTGCTTCTGAGAATCATTGTTTTATCTGCCGTGTGTCTGGTGTTATGTGAAGTTATTTATACTGCAATTGCTTTATTCTTGATCACTTCACTACCGACTTCAAGCTTACACATTACAGTGCCTTGGATAAGAACCTCCCAGTAATTTTCTTACCATGACCTTTTCTCTGAGGGTTAGTGGGATAAAATCTCAATCTTAACACGATCTCACTTGCAGATCTCGAGACAAGAAGTGGCATTCCTTGCTAAGAACCATGATGAGTAATGGTAGGATGCCGCCTATGGTTAGTAGCCAGCAAGAATGAAATGCTGGATCCGATACTCGATTTACTGAATGAAGTTTGCCACCAACATAGCTATCTGCCTAAAAATAGGTTTTGGAAATCCTATATCCATGACCTAACTTTCCAAATATACAAATCGATATCCCCTTTCAAGACTCATTCAAGAGCAATAGATAGCTACGCAAAGAAACCAGCGAACAATCAAAGTATCCATAACACCACACGATTCAGAAACTATCACGCCTGTTCCGTAAACACAAAGGAACAACCTATAGAATCCAATACTTCATACTTGAGAACGAGATAAGATCTGACAAATTTTCCGTTTCATATCATGGTTTGTATGCTTGACTAGACCACCAATTTCATTTCCTCGGAGCTCGGTTATTACGCGCTACTTATAAGGATACTATTCATGTGAATGACCCCCTTGCCACTCGCTTAAGCTCCCTACTCCCCTTGTCATCTATTTGTGGATTGTCATTTCGTCTATTCCTCTCCTGTATGTTATCTTGAGCATCCTTAGTGGTGATATGCGTAACCGATATATGATATACAAATGATGTGTACACCATGTAAATGTATTTACATCATGTAAACAGTTTTACATGGTGTATTGTCTTATCCCATGTTAGCATCATATACACACCATGTAAAAATTTTTACATCGTGTACACACCATGTAAAAAATAATATGGGGTAGCTATAAAAAAGCTTTAAAACTAAATAAAAAAAGGATCTTTAATACTAGCTTGATAGATAATTATTTAATCAAGTTAATAATAAAGGTTTTTTTTTTTTTTTATCAAAACAATATATACTACCACTATACTACAGGGAATATTAATTTAAATAAAATAGATTAGTAATATCAAAATATATCCGATATCTGAAAAAAAATAATTAAAAAATAATTATTATTACTTATTAAGCATATAAGAAAGTTTACACCATATAAAAATTTTTACATTATATAAAAAGTTTACATAATGTAAAGAATTCTACACTATATATACACCATGTAAATTCTCAACATCATATATATATCATATAAAATATTTACATCATATATACACCATTTACCGGTTACGCATAGCTCCACTAAGAATTAATTGCATGATAACATTCTATTAATTTGGGTCTTCTTGATAATAGTAGTAATGCTTGGTACACGTAATCTCCATCTCTCTGTACGGTGGAAGGATCTAAAATAAGACGAAGATCGTAAATCATGTAGAAAATCAGGATATTAGTTATCTGTCCCAATAAAAGCACTTTTCTAAAACAAAGATCAAGGGCCGTGAAAATTAATGGTATCATTTTATAGCTCAGAAGCAAATATTTACATCTACTAACTACAACCCCCCAATAGTCCTTTACTTTACTTCACGATCTTGGACTTCTTCTTGACCTTCTCGACCAAACTACTAAGATCCGCCTTATCCTCTTTCTCTCCCTCAACCTTCCTCTTCTTATTCTTCGTCTTCACTTCAACCTCTCCGTCATCTTCTCCACCTCTCTTCCTCCTTCCCTCTTCCAACAATTTCTTCATACCCTCTGTGCCCTTAAACTTTGGATTGCTGGGATCAATAGCATACTCGTGATTCTTGAAGATATCACCGAATCTCTCATCACCAACATCCATCTGGAAATTTTCCTGTAAGCCTCCTCTCTTACTCTCAATTTCTTCGCCCTTCTTTCCCTTTCCTTTACCCTTCTTCTTTTTCGCCTTCTCGGCGCGTTGAATCTCAGCAATATCGAAATGGTCCAGATGTTCTGCCTTGTCCGTCGAATTGTCCTGCATAAGCAATTCCAACTCTGCACGATTCGACGCCTTTTCTTCCGCTTCCTTAAGTTTCGCATCGTGTTTCTTCTTGCGTTCTTCTTTGCGTAGTGATTTTGCTGCTTTGGATTTGGTGGCTTCATCGGTTGCAAAGAAAGGATCGTCGAATCCAAGATCTTCCTTGGCTTCAACTTTTTTCTCCTCATCAGCAGGAGCGTTTGGATCCTTGCCTTCACGAACGGCCTTTGCCTTTTCTCTCCTGCGGGCCTTGCGTTCCTTTTCTTTACGGATGTATGCCTCGGCTGTGGTTTCATTAGGTATGGGTTCATTTTCGAAAACATTTCCTTTGGCGGTGGCGCTTAAACCGGCTGTAAATGTAATCTCCATGTCACCAACAGGACCACTCTCTTTCTTCTTTTTGATTGGCTCATCCCCGAGTCCGAGAGCTGCGCGAAGTTTTTGTCTCTCGATTTCCTTTTTAGATAATTTAGGAGCATCTTCGTCGGCCTCTACTTCTTCTTCCTCATCGTCCTCCGAATCACTTCCTAGGTATGCCCGTAAATCGTTTTCGCCAATTTCCGCGCGACTACCTGTGAATGCTCGATTAATTGCATCTTTTCGGCTTGCTTCCTCAGGGTTCATATCCCATGTAAGTTTGACTTTGGAATGCTGAAGCGCATCTGTAACGAACTCGGTAGGTTTGTATCCAGAAGGCACCTGTTCACACTCGTCTCTTGGTTCATCATCGAATTCCGTACCATCAGGGATGAATCTTAGATCGAAAAAGTTGGCGGAACTCAAATACTCTGTGCCGTCGCATTTCTGGTAAATATTCTCTGCAGTTTTCTCGTCCGAACAAACAACAACGGCATAGAAATATCGAAGTCGTTCGAGTTGATATTGTCGTAGTGCCGCGCCATCAAATTCATTGCCATCGTCTGCCTTTTGTAAATCCTTCTTAATTTTCTCCTCTAATTCTTCGTCATCGGTTTCCTCATCATCCTCAGAGTCATCTTCATCCTCTTCTTCGTGCTTCTTTGCGAAAATTTCTTTGGGTGGGCCCTCCAATTCTTCTCGTTCCATCCTTTCCTTTCCATACTCAGACTGGTAAATAGAAATCTTATGAATCTTTCCACCAGGATTGACGAAACTCTGAAAAACAGCCATTAAATCCACCGATCGAATATTGTCCCAATCCAAATTAACTACCGCTATTCTCGAAGAAACCTCTCCCATTTCGACTGCCTGCTGCTCTGCTTGCATATCTGGAAAGGTAGCTTCCTCTTCAATATCCACTCCTCCATCTTCTTCTTCATCTTCATCCTCGTCTTCCGAAGAAGAAAACCCACCACCTCTGGCAGGATCATATCCCGCAGCCGCTTTTTTCAATTCCTTTTCCACTACCTCGTCGTCCTCCACCTCCACATCTTCTCCGCCCTCATTTTCATCGTCACTTTCACTGTCCTCGTCTTCTTCATCCTCGTCAACATACAATCTCTCCAGCGCCTTCTTCTTTCCACTGCCACTCAATTTCCTTCCATATCGATCCACCTTTGCTGAATTGGAAAAATCATCATCTTTCAGCATGCGCGAGAACCGTTTATCAATCTTCGTTCTGGTCTGTTTCTTCGAAGGAAGTCGGAATCGAGGATCGGTAGTGAAATTCGAGAATCGAGGATCATTGACTGCAGAAGCGGAGGATGCATCATTTGATGCTCCCTTAGGAGCTTTTTGTTTTGGCATTGTGCTGTGAAAGTTTCTAAAATGCGGCAATTAACAAGCTTAGAACTTCAAGAATTGGATTTATCAGGAATTGAGAAACTTTTTTTCGAGATTACGGGATTTTGCCGGTGGAGATCGAAAGCGGTGAGATGAGCATCCATGCTGATTAGTCAGTCAGCCACAGCTTTAGCCACGTCCCTGGCGACAATGACGAAATCCATCCATGCCTTTTGTAGATCTCCAGGGCTGACAATGAGTTAACCGGCCAGACTTGAGATGAATTAGAACTTCATTCAAATTAAATTAAATTACCATTAACCCAATTTATACAGACTTCAAATAAGTTTCAATTTCACAGCTTACAGCAGAATTATCATCGAAAATGGATCGCGAAGAGCAACTCGATAAACGTGTATGTCACTGATCCCTCGTAACCCCCTCGCCTACTTGAATCCTCAGCAGCGCAAGCACCTGTTCCCTTGATAACTCTATTCCGCAACTAAATCTATACAGATAGCCTTTACAGTAAGCGGGAAAGTTCAAGGTTAGTTAAAGAATATACCTTTGGTCAATTGTGCATATGAGCAATGCCTCATCACGTTCACCGGTACCTTGTGGCACTAAATAGCATTGTTGACAGTTGGGATTTTCAGGAGTCAATTTTCGCTGGTTCACACAGAAGAAAGCGAGGGCACTTGGACTTGTTGGTTGGGTACGCAATACAGATGACGGAAAGGTACGTTCCATCTATTCATACCTTTTGATACCCTTCCCCTTTCCTCGCTATCTCCCCCAAAGCCTTACACCTACCAATCTTGTTGCTCCAAACCCAAGCCAACATATTTCAACAGGTAAAAGGCGAGGCTCAAGGCTCTGCCTCCCAAATCGAAAGTTTACGCGCAGATCTCAAAGAGGGGCCACCTCATGCAAATGTCACAGGGTATGAAGACAAGGAGCTGGATCTTAAGGGGAAAGGGGTGGCCGAGGGGAGGTTTGAGGTTTTAAGATAGTGGATGCTGATTTTGAAAGATTATGTGTTCGTCTGGATATCAGAGTATGAAATGATGATATGTCAGTCTATCAATGTTCATTATAGCTTCCAACCCATATCAGCGCGGATCTACCGATACCTACTAGGTAGCTGTAGATTGCGGGTACGTAGTTCACTACGGGTAGATAGCGAGGCGGACTCAAAAAATTCCCCTTAATGATGTAGATGAAATGTTATTCAATGATTGGAATTGGGTAATGATAGTGAAGAGCTGAATCCTTTTTTCCTTTGAACAATATTATAACTATAATTTTAAAATCATCAGTAAATCCATTGAGTATTTGAGATTTTTTTGTATTTAGATTTACTAAGCTCGTTTATAATAAGGGGTTTGAATCCATAGAGTTATTCAAATTAATAATTATAATGAAACAACCATTTATATCGACAGTATAGAACTCAAAGTATTAATTAATCTTGGGGGTCATTTGGTTAGTTAATCTATTCCCAAAACTAACAAAACTATCTAAATTTTGTTAGAAAATATAACAAAACACACATGGACTTACACAGGCTACATGTAGACTAGCCATCAAGCAGTGGTGTACTTTCTATCCTGTGAGTATTCACATTTCGTGCCCCTTTCCCCGTGCTTTCAGATCAATGATGCATTCACCCTCTTGCAAAAACTCCAATCTTTTGATTCTTTACCTAAAGACCGAGGCTGGATGTATTCCCAGATCAAGGTGGCCAATCGACCGCCCTCGGTTCCGCAAATGCAGGTTTTGACTTTGAAGGCTCGAGAATCTGGAGTAATTCTACAATCGCGGCTGGTCTCGCCAATGGTACACTGTCGCAAGAACGACTTGACAATATGACGTGGCCATAAAAGATGTTATGGGATACAGCTATGTCAGCCTCAGCAATGGTAGCTATCCTTCTTATGTCAGCTCTACAACATATCACGATGGATGGACCAACCACAACGATGTTGTGAGAGAAAACGGTGCAGCCTCATTGATTTTTACTCAAGAATACCAAGGAAGCTTTGCCTCTTTCCAAGCCATTGAGCATGGCCATCTTCGATTCACACGCAGGTCCAGTTATGACGAAACTGGAATGATTCATGAAGGTCGTCTTGCAGGTTGATCTGGTCAGACTTCTTTCTCTTGTCTCATCACTCCCCAAAATGCTCTCATGACTCAAGCCAGAGAGGATAGTACCGTGGTTCGTTGGATCTTGAACAACACTTAAACCAGTACCATCTCTAGCCGTATTGGCGGTGGAAGCGATAGATAACAGTGGGCTTTGGTGGAAATGGAACTGCACTAAGTGGAGGCATGAATGGAACCTTGGGTGGAGGTGGTGACGATAGCTTTGGAGGAGAAAGAGGAGGAGCTGCAGGTCTTAGCGGTGGAACCGTCCTAGTCAAGACATTTATTCATACGCTACTGACGCAGAAGTCTGTCTCGTTTTCTTGAAAATTTTCTCCGGCGAAGGCGCCGACTGCACTGAATTCCGAAACACAGATCAAGATATCCTCGTCACCTCCGTGGCAGCCGGATTTCACAAAACCATCGTCATTATCAGCACCGTTCGTGCCCGAATCGTCGACATCTGGATCGATTTGAAACACCTATTATCGTAAAATTAAAACACATTATCTATATTTCTCCTCAAACATTCCAGCATTATCCTCCGACCATTCTATTTCCGCATCCAACACAATAAACACTTCCACAGCTCTCATAAACAAGCAATGTATAATGATCACATCTCTCTTTCTATTACTTTGATTTTTTAACCCATCCATGCATCCCTCGATCCCTAATCGATTTCGCTATACAAACTTTAGCTCATCTGATTCCACCAGCTTCTGTCCTCTGCGCTATCCGTCTGATGAATCTTTCGTTTCATCTTTAACCTTTCCACCTTACCCCTCTCCAAAAATGAATCAAACTACATATCCCATATAGCGAATTATGTATGCACATCTTTCTTCCTTTCCGCCCGCCCGTTCGTCTCTCATTCCCAGCGACCAATCTCCAACCTCACATCTCATTTTTTTTCCCAGTTCGCCTACGCACACGAGGTTTTCTTTGAAACAACCAAATCCCTCACTTCACAAACTCATCCAAACTCCCTGGTTCCCAACTTTCTTTTGTACAACGCAAACGCAACTCCCACTACTTGGTTTAATAATACAATCCATCGTTCTTCCTTCCTCACAATCAAACTTTGATATCCGTCTTCTCTTCTTCAACTCCTGCTTCGGTATCACTCTTGATATTTGTCGCCAACCCCTCATTTTCTTTCCCCTTAATATTTTCCTCAACCCCCGGCCCCTCCAAATCAATTTCCTTCCTCAAATCGGGCAAAAATCTATCAATTCGTTTCCAAGTTTCGGTCCATAACTTCTCTTGCGTCTCATCTTGACTACGCGGTACCAAGTATCCGCTACTAGACATTACAAGAAGGACATTCTTTAAACTTTCTGGTACTGCTTCTTCCTATTTCATTTATTAGTAAATTTACAACCATCGAATAGTTCCATTGACATACCAAACTATCACCCTGTCCACTATTCATCAAACGATCCATGATGTCAAGTATCTTAATCCAAAGATCTAGCATACCCTCCCATTTTGACAATAGTACCAAATAGTGCAAGAAGATCCTACAAAGAAGCGTGGCGGCTTGAACACGAGTTTCACTCATGCCAATGGGGTCGGATGAATATACTTCTGGCTTTAGTAATCGAGTTATGAGAGGGAAGAGAACCTCGCCGAATATAGCGGTCCATTCTTCGTGATCACCTGACGTTAATTCTGGTGATAATAACGAACGCTGTAACGAAGAGAATGCTTGATGTCGAATTTCTCGGCAAGGATTGGTACACTGTGTCGTCAAAGCCATAAAGATTGGTGACCAATAATTTGCCCAAGCTGTAGTGAGTTAGTAAAAGTCAATGCGATAGATGGATTTACACATACCCTCTTTGCTTTCAAGATGTGATTGTTCCATCAGGACAGGAATTCGCGACGTCAAAGAATATATCATCGTTATAGCCTTGACTCCTCTAGCTACGACCGCATCTACCACCTGTGGCTTTGGCTGTTTGACTGGTTGTCCTCTTCGTGTCCTCTTATCCTGTTTTTGCTCCACGGTAGACCCTACACTCCCGGCAGTGGCAAAATCATTGAGCAACTTAACAGCTGACTCATAATTATCTGCCATTATAGTTGGTGGAGAACCGATGGCAACACCTTCAAGGATTTCGAACACAGCCGATGCTGAAGAAGGACTGGTTGCAAGATTTTTAAGAATTACCCAGAAGTCGGGAGAAGTCATGATTTCGTTTCGTAATGGACCTGGCTCTTTTATACATTGTGTTAACCCTTGAAGAACAAGTGTGGCAGATTTCTCGAACAAATCCTTCTTGAAACTCGAGATAGCGTGAAGCACCACAGGAACACGAATGTATGATTGTTCCTACATAAATTAGCTTTGATTCGTTAGACAAGATAAGATATACTAACATAGCTTGCGTGTAGTAGGTGCAGTAGATAGAATATTGTTCTAGATACCATCAAGGGATGCCAGCTGGCAGAGTTTCGTAGAACGTTTTGTAAAGCTTCTGCAACTTCAGCCCCAAACGCGTTGATAGTTTCATTATCTCTCATTGCAAGCACGGTACACAGCTCTAATATGTAAACCATTGATGGATCATACACAGGACCGGATGGTGCACCGTTAACGCCGTTTGTAGGACTCAATGGGGGTTCCACTTCCGATTTCACACTTATGACGACCGATGAAGGGTCATCTGGCAATTGCGATATCAATGCTTGTATGAGAGGTCGTAAGGAATCAATAGGCATGTTTCTAATCACATTAGCGATCGAGTCAGAAGAAACAAGTAGACATTACTTACACTACATTTGCGAACACGTCGCCCATGAAGCAAGCATTCACACAATCGACTGTGCACAAGGTACTTTCGAGCTCTTCATCCGATGGCTCTGGAGGATCGTCTGCAGCATAGCTAGTAATGTATGACGCAAAAGCAGAGAAAAGACCGGTGTCGCTGGGTTTCGCCCCGCGATCAATGACTTGGGAAGGATTTTGTAAGGGAATTGGAGCAATATCCATGCTATTAGATGTAGCAAAGAATGGGGGTATCAAAGAATTAACAAATAAGTTCAACCAAATCCTAGAAATCTGTACACGTGATTAGCAAATCTTAGGAAATGTTTGACTATTGATCAACTTACGTGCTTCCAACTTTCTCCTATCACACTTTCACTACCTAACACAACACGGAAAAGAACAACAGTCGCAAGCTGAGCCTTCACATCTCTACCAAATTTGACTGCAAGTTCACTAACCATGACGCTATTCTCCCCAACCTGTATCTCGGTATTGAGAGTAGTACTGGATGGAATTTCTGTTGCAAGTGTAGTAATGTGACTCAAACAATACACGACTTGGTCAATGACTTCAGTCAAACCATGTTTGGCTGCGATACGGACACACTGATCAAACCCAGTGATAACTCTCTCAAACACAGCATCATCGGTCGCCGACATAAAGACATACGACAGAGTTGCAACCACTGGTTTCCAAGTAGCTGCGAACATATCTGCATCGAAGATGTTAGTGTTGCAGATAGTGAGATCACCCGCGGAAGCAGTTTTTAGTAATAATTCCTTCCAAGCATAGTCGAAAGCATGTTTGTTGTCATGCTCATCAGGTAGAATAATTTCGTTTGATTTGATAGACTCGTAGATGTCCTGGAGGTATTGCGGAGCAAAATCCTGCCCGCCATTAACTCCACGCAAATTCCGTGCAAAGTTTTCTAGCTCCATGCGTTTACCCTTCATGTTCGGATTGTGCTGATCTGTATTCAACATGATAATGGCATAAGTTAGAACATATACGGAATCTTTATCCGCAATACCCTCAGGTAAGGTACCCGAACAATAGTTTTCTGCGAAAGTCGAGATAATCCGCTCAATCAAAGCAGATTCTCCGGGTAATCTGAAGGTCTCGAGGAGTTCACGCAGCGCCTCGTCAACTCTCTTGTTTTCAAAATCAAATGAATCCATCAAAGCTTCTAAAATGGGCTCATTTCCTTTCTTGGATATGAATTCGCCCAGCTGCTTTTTGTCGATACGAGATGTTCCCTTCAAAAAATTTGCAACAGTCTTTGCATCTCTCGGATCATCTATGATGCCCTGTGACGCCAAAAACGCAATTCCAGCCTTCGGAC